TAAGACGACGCCATATTGGGATTTACTAAAAGAATGACGTCACAGTGAAAAACACCTAAGCACGTGACAAAATGTACTTAGAGAACATTCGAAAGGAGGGAGCGGCATCGGGTCCAATATCATCATTATCAACAACAACAGTAATTACAGACGGCCTTACACTTTTATGACTAAAATATGTTTTTTTTTATCATATTATATCTTAAAAATTATGTCTCAAAATCGTTTGTATGGGAGAATAATATTAAATAACAATATAATATTTATAAAACACAGACAATTACAACGATGGGTTAAGTGAAAAAATGTTAATGAAATAATTGTGTTAATATCTGCATAATTATCGTCATAACTAGTATATATTGACAGTTTATAGTAAAAATGTGACAGAAGCAGTGAATTAGGTGTGTGTACAACCCGGTGCATTTGTATTTTACGAGATTTTCAATCATCGTGTGACAGTCTTTACATATTTGTTTCAATGAACACGTGACAAACTTGCGTCCTTTATTATGAATCTTTGCAAGTGCATCTCGATCAAACGTGCGAAGGTCTTGAGATGTAGGTCAAATACTAAATGTCATTATTTGTTAATAATAGTGTATATGTAGGTAATTAGAGAAGTGATTGATCAATGTACACTATAGTACAATATAAAGTTACTTACCGAAATGTCTAATGACAATACCTGACATATTCATTTTTTATCCTTTATCTATAATTTATTTTTGTAATGAATTATTATGTTGATGGTAGTTAGTATCAAATGTTAGACATGATATCAAACCACGAAAGAATTATACATGGAAGTTATTGGCTAGTGTGAATAACATGATCCAATATTACATATATATCAGATAATAAAATGTTACATAACAAAACAGTATGATTCATCATATTGATATTTATTCTAAATCAATTAGAATTTTATCAACATTTCAAGCAACAATTTATAAAAATATAAAATTATAAGACGTTCCCATTATTTTTTATCATTATTTGAAATACTCATGGAAAATGTGCCTATTGTAGACCTATCTACTTTAATGCTGCTTTTATTTTATTGTATATATTTCTTTTTGGTGTGTGTGGGGGTGGGGGTGAAGGTAAAGTGGGTAAAATTTAATTTATAGCGGGGCACAGGCTAGGGTGAGATACTATTTAGGACGGGATTTAATTTCAGGTTTGATACACAGTTTAAGGTGGTAAACTAATAAGGGTGGGATACACTTTAGAGTCAATTACATGTATCTGCATTACATAATTGAAATAAAAACGTTTAATTATCTTCTTTTTTTTTCATTTCTTTCACAATTAAAATAGTTATTGTAGAAAACAACGGAGTGAACAAATGACCTGAAAATTTTGCAAGCAAGTTATCAGTTCAGACTTATATAAACAGTACAAATATACCGAACATAGGGTGAAAAACTGTGTACATGTAGAGTCCTTGTCATAACATATGTAAGCCAGAAAGCAAAGCTTTCTTCTTGTGCATGTTAACATTTGTCGGAAATATTGTACCAAGAGCTCGAGGCACGTTGGTACATCTATACCTTTCTTTAAAGCTGGTTATCTTATTGAACCATGTAGATAAACACAAAACAAATGTAAGAACAGCAAAGGGAGATGACTCCCATTGAATAACAATGTGAAAAGACCTATATATATAAGTTACTGACACTGTTGATCATAACGGATAAAGGATATCAATGTTCTTGAATAAGAAAAAAATGTTGCTCGACATTAAGCAACAAATAATAATTTTATAGCCATTTAAATAACACAGGAAAAGGCGTCGCGAAATATCTCCAAAATTAATAATAAATTTCTTAAAAGTTTATAAACAGAAAGTCGAGAGTGTTTGACGTGAAATAATTTATATTTATCATTGTGAAAATAAAAGCTCTCAGCTGTTTGTGTATGAATTATCCCACAAAATTATATGTCAAAATAGCTAAAATAACGAAATTTGACGAAAATATAAATGGAATACTAATTTTGAATCTAATTTGAATATAAATTACGGTTGCTAAGAATGAATCATAAAACATGACATTGTTGTTTTAATTATGATTTTGAAATTGTTTACACTTTCATTGCTGTACCGTATGACCTCTATGGGTGTTGGGTATGTTATTTTTAACTTATTGTGTAGTATTTTACTATGACCAGTATCAATACATTTTGTTATGTAATTTTTATGATCATGCACAGTATCAGTCTTAGTGGTTTGTAGCATGGCTTAGCAAAATATCATATATTAACTTTTTTAAAACGGCGCTTCCCTGGCAAATGTAAATCTTAAACAAGAACAGCACATTGTTCATGTATTTCTTCAAGACAATTTTAGACTTTGTTTCAATGACCCTTTTCGTGTAAATTTTACCGTTGGTGGTGAGAGAACTATATCACTTGATGTCAAAACCAAATAATACGTTCTTTGACAACAACAAATAACAACAACAAAAACAAACAAATAAAAACAAATCCCAAAATACAAACAATAACAAAACCAAACAAAAATAAACATTCAAAACCACAATTTGTCGTGCGTTTGAAATTAAATAAAATTAAATATGTTGAGGTCAAAACCACTTTATTTCATTACATGCATTTTTCTTGATATAGATAGTAGTTCAATGAACTTATTAGATAAAAAATATCAAACCTAATGGTATTTTGTAAGATAAAGCGTTGTACATGCACATATAGCATAAATTTCGATCACTGATTGTTTATTAATACTTTTATCTACTAGAATGAAAAAAATATATAATGAAAAAAATATCGGATAACCGCCAAAACCAAAGAATTTAGTTTAATTACTGATATCTATGCCCATTTCTGCTAAAACAGAGTTATTCTCCACCGTTAAAACACAATTATAGATTCTTTGAAACAGCTAATTTAAATATGTTTACTGCCTCTCCTGATTTATGTGATAATAAGTTGACGCAGTTCTTCCGTAACACAATTTTCGAGGGGGCGCTCAATCAGTTATTCTTTCTTATTCCCCGCTCATAGACAAAATCGCATCGCAAAATCAAAACTACTTTATTGAAAGTATCCCTTTCTAGAAAAAGGGCAATTTTAATGTAATTTATTTGTAATGATTATTGATTTATGTTTTATTTATTACGTCACACAATAAGACTTTTTGATGACGTCACATCCACATTATGAAGAACAAATAATTGCATTTTAAGTAAGAATTATAGTGTTGCATAAAATAAAAATCTCATTGTTAGACTTGATGCTATCATCACAGACATTTAATTATATGGTAAAACACATTTCAAGCAATCAGGAAGTATTGGTTATAGGAACATTATTCGTGTATCATTTTGGACATGAAACATCCTTGTTTGTCGACAAGTATTATATGCCAGTTATCATGGTAAACATTAGGATCAAGTTTAGCAACAAATTGTATATTAATAAATATTTTATTATCTATTTATTTAAGATAGGAATTATTATTTGAACCGCGTAATGACAAAACCAACATAGTGCGTGTACGACCAGTATGGATCCAGACCAGCCTGCGCATCCGCGCAGTCTGACCAGGATCCATGCTGTTTGCTATCAGTTTCTCTACTTGTAATATGGTTGGTAAGCGAACAGCATGGATCCTGATCAGACTGCGCGGATGCGCAGGCTGGTCTGGATACATGCTGGTCGCAAACGCACTATGTTGGTTTTGTCGTGACGCGGCTCATTTCTAGATCAAAATGGCTATATTAGCTCAATACCGACATGAAATTGTTGAACTGAGTTCAAGTCTGTTCTTTCCACCGATCGGGTTGCTTAGTTTCTATTCATAAATTCATAATGGACCAGAGTTCGTTTTTTATTGTAATGTTTCGGGAAAACAAATAATACTGTAATAAGATATTATGTTTAAGTAATGATAATTTATAAACGATATATTAATATGAAAACTCAATGAATCATTACAATATTTATATATTCATTGTTACACATTCAATTATAAAATTCATTTTGTAAAATGACCATTCATCATATCCAATCATATTTGATTAAATTACTACCTGCGTATATTAATATATAGCAATATTCATTTATCTTTTATTGATTATATTTAAAGATCCTGTAACTCAATTTTTTCCTGGTTTTATATCATAAATATTATGCTCAAATGAAGATTTATCAATATTGTAAATTCCAAAAAGCATTATTTTTAAAGACATTACCGATTTTACATTTCATGTTTATAAAGGGAGGTAATTAGAAATTTGTTTACCAATTTTTTCAATAAGAAATGAATGCATATATTTCAATGATTATTTATAATGCGTGTAAACATTTGAAGTACATATTTGACATATTCTCGGATTTTTGGAAATTGTTTTCGAAGAATAATTAATACAATGTACATATATAAAATTTCCCATGAGTGTTGTTATATCCTTAATTATAACATACATGATCTTTAACAATTGTGACATGATATTCTGTTTCCTTCTGTTAACACCCAATATGTTTTAAATAAATATTTCTTTACAGATAAGTGACATAACACTAGTCCAAAATAGTCTCGAAGTAAACAGTGTAACAAGACCCATAAAATCACAAATAAGAACTTTTTGTACATCCCTTAAAGTAATTTCAACTTGAAGGAAGTAATTTCGAAACATTTCAGATTATTCCAAATATAGCTAATTGCATTTTTAGAAGCAATATAATTATGCCAAAGAATGCATTGTTATGTTTAATATTGCATTTTTAGGCCACTGTAATTATTGCACATATCACATCATAACTTAATTACGAATACACTTAAACAGTATCTTATTTGTACCCTTTTCCTTCATTATATAAAACACCTATTGTAAAAAACCATGCAATCCATTTTAATGTTAATAGAACAAACGAACTAGTATGACAATTTGGCCACAAAATTAGCATTTAAATGTTTGAAACGTCTATTATTTCCGAACATATATTTCGTCAAACGAATCCGAACACATTAATGACAAAAGTTTGACGAATTTTGCATAGTGGATAAACAGAATTACAATTCATTTAAAAGGTCGCTCTTGTCAAACCGTGTCTTTCACTTTCTTACTCGGGAAATACGTGTATGTTATAAGGGCAAAAGACAATTTGTATTTTTTTGTTATGTGACTTTTAAATCACAATGGATTTTTTAATTGGATTTCTATCGCTGATTTCGTTACTAGTTTCAGTACATGGTACGTACATCTCAGTACATTTCGGTACTTTTTATTTCCACCATAAACACTTTGGTAAAGGAAATCACAAAGAATGAATACAATTACTGCGTTTTAAACTATGCTTTTCCCTATAACAGTTATACGAAAATAAATAGGTGGTGCCACCAAATACAAAATAATATGTCAAAAATTACACTTCATTGTCTTTAATAAACTGTTAGTTACTAAATATATATATAAAAAGTCTCCAGGAGGATAATATTTTATATCAAGAAATACGTTAGCAACTTTTCTATCCACCTATAAGAATGTTGTCAGTATTGTGGACTGAAGACCGATTACGTCGGTGCTAGGGGGCTTCATAAAATGGTTGCACTTTTTATTACCTCTTGTAAACAGGCTCGATAAAAACAAGTCTACGATTTTTAACTATTTATTTTTGTTTACATTGTTCTCGAAGCAGAAAAGATCTACCATTTCTAGAGTATTTATTTCTTAAAGCAAGTAATAGTTTATTAATATATTGCATAATTGAATAAGCGTAAGAAATTATGATACACTAGTCATTGTATGTGGCAACTGGTGCCTGCAAATGTCTACAAACGGTTCTTCTTAGACGAAAAGCATATAGTGTAAGAATTTCATATTTTGACAACATGTAAAATAATCTCTTTTCATGTCAGTTCTTAACACTTAGTTAGATGCAAAAAAAGACTTATGTGTAAAGCGATTGTTTACTTTCCGAGCATAACTATCTTGGCTTATGTCATATTATCATATGTTTGATTGTAAGGGAGGAGACAGTTTGCTGCCATTAATTCTTAATATCAATTAAACAATGTTTCATTTTACATTTATTCTAGATTATGAGTTAAGTACTGGTAATAACTGTCTCTTGTCCCGTTTCTTCTCTGGTTTATAACGTGCTTTAAATGGGACATTGACATTTGAACATTCATCTTAAATCAAGTTCATTAAATATATGTACCAGTTACATGAGCATCTGTGATATATTGATGCATCTGGTGTTATAAGTTTTGCTCGGATAGTCTATATTGTTCTCCATTTTCCTTGCCCCAACCTTGTATATGAAGTTAGCATCAATAGTTGATTGTTTAGCCGTTTCCAATCTAAGGCGGTGCCACACTGCTAATATGCGTGGTCCTACAGCTTTAACGAATGGTTATGATTTGATTCTTTGATTCAGCAATAGCTTTATTTTTATGAACGTTTGTTGTTGATGTTGGACCTCGTTTTATTTCATTGTTTATGTACAATAAGTCGCATTATGTGTATCTAATAAAATGTTAACTTATGACTATTAAATTACTTACTTTATTTACAGCCTAGCCTGTGAAACAAATTGAACAATTGTCTCTTAAATCAACCAGATGTTTATTGTTACATTGCGAAAAATTAAAACAGAATTACACTTAAATTCTAAAGATCAACGTAAATGGGAAATATTTCTTTTACGAAAATTTCTTTTTAGACTGCTTAAGAATTATATTTTAATACTTAAATCGCTTTAACTACAAGGGGACTGGTCCAAAATCAAAAGCAAGCAGGGTCAGGGTAAATAATGACCATCAAATAAAACAAAACAAAGAAAAATAAAAAACAAAGACCCCCACACCACAAATGAAAAACCTGTAAAAACAAGAAAACAATATAGTCTTTGTTCTATGCCAGCCGATATTTTATGTACCTTACAAAACTGAAATGGTACACCTGTTGTTATTTTCCCTTTACACCAAAAAGTACTTTTGTTGAGAAATTGAAATTTATTCGTATTGAAGAGCCATAGATTAATGAAATTGGATCCATCAGAGAAAATGATTATATCAAATATCTCGTTAAAATGGAAATAATAAAACAAAACAATACTAGTACAAAATAAAACTAAATCACTCGTAAAACAATGACCCCACACTACAAAACCTGTAAAAATATTTCGTCATGTTACTTACATTTTGACAAATAATTTATTATCATACAAACCTTTGCTGAACCACAAAACACAAGAAAAATAACACAACATGATGATTAATGATAAAATTAACTTTTCATCAGATAATCACAATATGAATGATAGTATAACAAATGTATTTTGTCATTTTGAAATTTATACTAGTGTTAAAAATCTCATATGGTGGCATTTTAGACTGTACTGACATACAGTTTTTGTGTTGTTGGTTTTGACATGTACTTTAAAAGTTGATGTTAAAGACCACAAGGAGGACATTTTATGATATCTTGCATACCATGCCCAAGATAAGTCTAGAATAACTTATCACATGACCTAGTTTTATCGCAATTCATATTTGTTTCGATCCTAAATAAGTCAAAAGGAAGCACATAACCATTTAATTTGAATTTGATAGATAAGAAATATAATTATTTATAAAAATACAATGTATCAATAACAGTTATTAAATATTTATATGACTTTTAGTAAGATTTTCTAGCACCTTAATTTTATTTCAATATAACATTGAAACACTTAAGGAGGTTATGCACCATATACAACTATTGATAGCTCGTACAAAATGTTATAATAGAAAAGAATGGACAACGTAAAACAATAATCATTGGGAGTGAAGTATCTAAAATCATAACAATAGCACAATAATATTACGAATCATATTTTGTGCAAATAAGAAAATGTTATTATAACATAGTGGTGGTGTTTATTTCCACATTTATACACTGTATATATAATCGCCAAAATATAACTTAGTGTAAAACATGTATATGTTTTTTGCCAAACAAATATTTGAATTTACTTTGAATAATCAGTCTACTAGTAGTGTTTGATCTGATAAGTAACTATATAATATTGACATATAATTAGCATTTTACTTATATGATGAATTACAAAAATATCATGACTGTCGAAATACATTAAATTAAACAATGTCATAAAATAAAAATTGATATTTTTTTCCGCACTGAGGTGGTTTTTACTAGCTGTTTTACAAAAACAAATTAATCATTTGTCATTTTGTAAAAAACACTTTTTGGCATATTAAATATGACATATGGTTTTGTGAATTTGCATAAAAATCCTTTAAAAAAAAGGTGGTAGAAAATTGATTTATAAGTAAACTAGAGCAGGGATACAATTTAATCTACAACTTAATCTGACGTCATCATTTTCTGCGTGCAAGCGTAAATATACGGAGATTCTTCGGAAAGACTCGTAATATTGACGAAGGTATATTTGGGTTAAATTTTGTAAACAATGTGGAATTTACGAATAATAATACATGTATAATAATTCGTGGCGTTGCACAGCTGCTAATCTCCATGACTCTGAATCACAAATTTTACTCTTTTAACGATGAATAAAATGGTTTTGCTGAGAGCTAATGTGGATTTAAGAAGGTAGTAGAGTAAGAAAGGATTAGGGTAATTTTATTCAATAACTTATCAAGTCGCCATTCTCGGTGGCTATATCTATATTGCACATGTATTTGTTATAATATAGCATGATTATTCTATGTATTTCATATAGTAATTGTTGTTAGAAAAGATAGGTTATACAAATAAAAGATTATGCGAAATACTAAGATATCTGCCAACAGAAAAAAAGTTATGTAAATATGTAAAATAAATAATTGTTTTCCTTAGTTACTTTTATTATTAACATATCAATGTAATATTGAAATGTATTAATGACATAAATTGCATATTTTCATTTTCCGTATTTTCACTGCACAACTTTATTTAAAGGGAGTGGTATCCTAGTGGTTGAGGTGTCTGCCTCAGTGCCTCTCAACCCGGGGATCATTGGTTCGAGTCCATGGGTCACGACCATGTTTCTTCATATGACACAAGTACTGGTTGGTTCCAGGAAGCGGACTTGAAAGTGATTAATATAAATTGCAAGAACTTGTATCGCAATCGAGCTTAAATAAATAAAAAAAAATTATGTTTAAACCAACTTTATCTAAAATTTTACTGCAGTGAAAAATGTTTTTCCGTATGTTCACTGGTGAAAATAGTGTCAGACTACTTTCTTCTAAATTCAGCTAATACACAAAATTAAAGGAGAAGTCTCTCGAATCGTATGGTTAAAAGATTACACAATAAAAAGGATTTTTTATATATACATGTTAATACAGGATTTATTTTCATCTTGTGGTTTGAAAATAATCATATAATTACTCATGGCTACTGCCTGTAGTGAACTATTTATTTTCACACCACTCAATGAAAATAAATCCCATTTTTATAGAAAAAACTTGAATATCCTTAATAAAGTCGTCATATGAAAGGAAAATATAAAGATTGGTTTACCGCTACAAAATTACCAAACCATGAGAATAAATTTAATCATACTACTTTTAAAGATGTTTTTTAAGAAGTCTTAAAGTGAACCGATCCATATAATGGATGGTCTGTCCTACTATAAATAATTATGTTGATAGTATTTAGTTTCAAACGTGACAATAAAAAAAGAAATACATGTAATTGTATATAAATGTATATGGATGTTGTTAATGTGATTGAGATACATGATCCGATATTACATATCTATATATAGCAAATAATAAATTGTTCTAGAACAAAGTATTATTACTCACCATATAAATGATCACATTAAATCACTAACAACTATTTCAACATTTTTTTCAAGACATATTTTTAAGAATATATAATACCGGTAATATATACAGATTTTATTTTAGTTTGATTGTGCTGGAAGCTAAAATCTTATAAACACACTTACTTATGTAAAATATGCCATTTGTACAGACCAATCCACTTTAAAACATAACAAGGAAGCATATAATTAATTTTCTTTGTAACAAGACGACATTATGTACATTAAAGATATACAATTCTCAATTTTGATATTAAATAATTGCTACATAGTCCCTTTTTAAATATGAAATAAACATGCTATTACTTCACACGAAGAAGATATGTTATGTTCAAAATTCTACACACTATAGGTGGTCATAGTGAAATTAAAATACTTGGCAGTTTTTTTTAAAGAATTTACCAACTTGACTTGACCTGTAATACGGAATGCATTTTCCCGCACGTAGTTTATTCATTCTTTTATTCAAATCAGATATATTCAGTAAGAATGTCATAGATTTCAATACATTTCTGTAATAAAAATATTTTACTTTTTTGCAGGAGAATGTTTTGGTGAAGCTGATCTTGTTATAGCTATACCAGGAAGTTATGCTGTACCTTATGCCGACTTCACACCATTCGAGGAACACATTGTCGAGCTACTCAGATACTTCTCGATAGAACCAGATCAGTTTAACATTGGTCTCGTGCTGTATGGAGAACATACTGTTACCATAGCTACACCACAACCGTTTAAAACCCGGGTGCAAATGAATACAAGAGTGTCATTAATGGCCAATAGAGATATACACGTCATCAAGGTATAGTGAATATAACATTTCTTTAACGTCAAATTTTATGAAACGTATGAGAAAGAACTGCGTTGCTATTATTAAAATGTTTAAACGTGTATTTTGCGACACTTAAATGACATGAAAGTCTGTTAAGGATATGTTTCTCTAGTGAAGAGCGTTGATTCAAAGCACGTGCATGGCTGTGCATTGCCATCAATAAAATGTCACATTCTGCTGTCACATCGACTTGTTTTATTCGCCATAAATAGACCCCGTTGACTGTAATTAAATTGTCCTTTTTTGATTTCCTTCTTTTAAAAGTTCAAAACAATTTTATGTAACCATCATATGTATAGAACCCAACCTAAGTATTCTTATTAGCAAAGTCATCTAAATTTCTATTTGAAAACGACCGTTAATACAACCGTGTGTTTATATGGTGTTGTGTTATATAAAGGCTTACGGAGCCTCAGGGATAAATTAACTTTGGTTCTATTTAAAAAAGGGTAATAATGCATTTTCTGTACGAAATTTGGTTCTATTTAAAAAAGGGTAATAATGCATTTTCTGTACGAAATCTGCTGTGGTCATAGTATTATTTTTACAATAGGTTTATCTCTTAGATTTGGTTTGCTACTGTATTGCTAATCGTGGTCATGCAACTACATAGTTAGGTGAAGAAGCAGGCGCTTGTTTTGGTTGATTCTATTATCTTTTGTTTCGGGGGTGAGTTGTCATACACAAATTTACAATATATATGCATATATTTTTTTCCAATGATTGTTATTATCTTAAATGCTTCTAGGAATATTGTTTTATCAGTTCATTTGTAAATAAGATTGTTATATGTCTATTAACGGAATAATTTTAATGAACACGAAATTAGTTCACACCTTTATGTGTATTGATAACGTGATGGTATAAGCCAATGAAAACACATTCAGGCAGAGAAAAAGTGTGCAAAAAGTAAATCGATAATCTTTATGTAGCAAACAAACTTTGAATTGCAAGTATTTTTTCATATCTTTTTGGCAGGATAAACTGTCCGAGGAGGGCCAGGCATTTTCGTATCGTAATTAGGCATTACAGTATCAAGTGATTATCCCAAGCACCACCGCGACTTTGCGCGAGAATTTTAATTATAGCTAACTCGGCGCGTCGCATAGGATGGAAAATACCTTTTTCATATTTTATTGTAACAACAACAGCACTGTGTCTTTCGTTTTTTTATCAATATATAACCAATAATGATGTTAATATGAATAAACAATAATATCTCAAATCTGTGACTATGATTTACAATGAAATTCTACCTTAAGTGTATTAAAAGGTTTTTTTTTTTTTAATTTCCTGTAATTTTATTTTGTGATTATGCTTCAAAGCAGTCAATTGACCGTGAATTTTATTTTCATATTTTGATTTTCTTGAAATCATTTTTCTCATCTGAAGGCATGCAACTTTAATATGATAAACATATGTATATAGAGAGAAATCGTCGTCTTACATTCTTATTATTCTGTACTCACTGACTCAGTGTTGAGAGTTTGAAATGTTGCACGTGCAATTTTCTTTAACGAACATACTCCATTAAAAGAGCTCTGGATAACTTCACTCAACCATTTCTTCTCTATTGTTCTCATGGACTATAGATAGTATCATAAATAAATATTGTTTGGGTGATATATTTGTCGGCATTTATTAAGGGAAGAAACATGCCTTAAATGTCACATTTTAAGCATTGTAGAAGATAAACATCATGTCTTTGAAACACTCTGTTTTATAAAAGCGTTTTGTTTTATATTTTTAACATAATTATAACAGTTTAATTGTGCTTATGTCATAACATTTCGATGAAATTACGTGTCATAATGACGTGTAAAATGGCATTTTAGGCATGCTTGTGACATTTTGTGCAACTATTTATTATGAAAATGAACTATGAATTCACCACCGCACCTGCATTACAATAAATAAAAGTACGTTTTCCTATAAATTTCTAAATATGGAGATCAACGACAACAAAACAATAACTATAAAGTCCAAATTCGGCTTGATAGGGCTTTTTAAATAGAGGAACAATGAGTTTATCATGAAACATCGTTTGCAATCACTTGACAAGTGGTCCTACCTTTGGTTTTAATGTCGCAACACGCCAACAAGTGAACATTTCAACCAAACCGTCATGCATATGTTGACTTTAAACACTATTTACTAGGAATATTATTTTGTTAGAATATATTTGTCAATATATATGATATATTTATCAATATATATGAAGTTAATTTTAATCCGACTTTGTTCAAGGCATCAGTTGAATTTAGAGGTTTACTTATAAAATGTATTAAAATAAACTTAATTTTTGGCTGCATCGTGCTCTTGATAACTAATCGAATACATCTGAATGTGTCAAACTTCGGTATCTATTCACCGTGTAAAACTTATTTTTTCAGATGGGCAGGAAGCAGAATCTTGCAAAGGCTATTCGAGAAATACGACACATTTTGACCAAGCCACCAGATGGCTACGACTTAAACATACTTCGACCTTATGCCCGAAAAATAGGCGTAGTATTTGCTTACGGACCAACACCACCCGATGAAATTCAAAATGTTATAAGTAAGTTATAAAGTTATAACTTAATTATATTAAAAGTCAACATAATAAATAAAAAAATATAAAAGCATTCGTTTAAAATGTTACAAAAAGGAAAATATATAAGGAAAACAAGGTGCCCGAATCACTTCCTTTATATTTTGTTATTTGTTTACGTGAATTTAATGCTAGTAATCACGCCCGGCAAACTGTCGCTCCACTTCAAAATTGTGGTGTACGATAAAACGAGCGAACGGCATTTCCGAGATAGAGCGGAAGGCCGATTTAAACGCCTAATTGTAAGTATTGTTTATGTTTTTGTCTTGTTATTTATTTAAGTTGTATTTTTTCGAAAAACGGAAAATGTGGTTCCGTGTAGAATTGATTTAGGCTTCCAATGATCTAAGCTGTTACAAAAAGAAAATTATATTAAGCCCGGGAGAACTTTTCTCCCTGACGAAGCGAACGATGATTTGTAGAATATTGAACTTCCCAACCATAGAAATGCCATAACTTTCGGATTTCATGAAAAAGTGTATTAGTAAATTATCAACCCGTAATAAGAGCTTGCCCTTCGTGCAAAATAAATTACTCCTGAAGGATTACTTAAATTTGTAAATCGATATTTTTCGAAAGTAGTGGAGCGAAAGGGCAAGAGATGGAGCAAAAGGTTCGATGTTGAGCGCAAGGCGATATTAATTTGACAAAATCGAATATTTTTAGTTCTACCGCGAACAAATGTTTCCGAGCAGGTACGTGTAACTCGATTGTTCACGCCAAAATGTAATGTTTTTCGAAAAGTTAGATATTCAAGGTGCAAAACACACATAAGCCACGTTTTCATGAATTTGTAAGGTGGGAAATCGCTATGAAAATGGTTGACAAGGTGTCAGTCTTTATAAGGATATAACGCATGTTCCAGTTATGTTTCAAGATACTAGTACTTCCTCCCTTATTTAGCATTGTTGTTTAGTTTATTATTTTCGTCTGTAAGTGCAAATAGAAATTTCTACTATAACTAGGTCTATTATATTATTGATAATTTTAGTCCGTACACCGACTGAGTTCTGCCTCACTTTGAGAGGAAAATAATAAACTAAACAACAATGCTAAATAAGGGAGGAAGTATCTTGAAACATAACTGGAACACGCGTTATATCCTTATAACAACTGACACCTTGTCAACCATTTCCATAGCGATTCCCCACCTTTCAAATTCATGAAAACGTGACTGATTTGTGTTTTGCTCAGAACAGGTACGTTAGAGCTATTAATTACAGAAAGTCATTGTGAACTGAACTTGGTAGTAGTGATCCATTTAATTTAATGCGTTCCATGCATTGCATAATTTTGTTTCTGTTCTGCACCTTGAATTTCTAACTTTTCGAAAAACATAACATTTTGGCGTAAACGATCGAGTTACACGTACCTGCTCGGAAACATTTGTTCGCGGTAGAACTAAAAATATTCGACTTTGTCGCATTTAGTTTAAACATATTTTATTTCAAACATTTTCACACAAACATATATTACAGACAATCAATAGTTACATAATATACAATGTTGAAAAAAGGATTAGATCCGAAGGCATACAATGCTTATAGAGGTATTTTTCCTAACATATAATTCATTACTGTAAATTTTGTTTGTCCCATTTGCACGAACACACGTTTTTTAAATGTACATAACCATGTCAAAAATCATGATTGACCTCGAATTTATAAGTGGCATCCTGTGTGTATGATTCAATGGTCGGGCCTCATCCAAATTTCGAACATAAATAATGGAATCTTCACGGCAGCCATAGGTGACACCTTCGCGATTTCAGTTATTACGCTATAGTCGTTGAAAGGATATCACAATTTATTAGTTCTCTTTAAAAAGGTATATATATCTCGGTCTTAATACTTGATCATGTCTATTTTAACTTCTATAGCTTTTATTTATAAAAATCATTGACTACGCTCCTCCTAATACGTCAAATTAATATCGCCTTGCGCTCAACATCGAACCTTTTGCTCCATCTCTCGCCCTTTCGCTCCACTACTTTCGAAAAATATCGATTTACAAATTTAAGAAATCCTTATGGAGTAATTTATTTTGCACGAAGGACAAGTTCTTATTACGGGTTGATAATTTACTAATACACTTTTTCAAGAAATCCGAAAGGTATGGCATTTCTATGGTTGGGAAGTTCAATATTCTACAAATCATCGTTCGCTTCGTCAGGGAGAAAAGTTCTCCCGGGCTTAATATAATTTTCTTTTTGTAACAGCTTAGATCATACGAAGCCTAAATCAATCCTACACGGAACTACATTTTCCGTTTTTTTTTTGAAAAAATACAACTTAAATAAATAACAAGACAAAACATAAACAATACTTACAATTAGGCGTTTAAATCGGCCTTCCGCTCTATCTCGGAAATGCCGTTCGCTCGTTTTACCGTACACCACAATTTTGAAGTGGAGCGACAGTTTGCCAGGCGTGGTAATGTATTTCTAGATTTCGTGTCAGAAGAAAACTATTTGCCGTAAAATAAGAAATTTACAAACATGTACGCAAAGATTCATTGGCTGCAAATGTCTGTGTTTCTTATCGAAAAATTACGATTAAATCTGATACATGTGTAGAACTCATTTTTCTTAAACAAAGACAAGCAGGTTAAATGTAAAAAACAGAAATAATTTTCAGTGTTTTTAAGTATCAATTAAAGTTTTAACAGTTATTGTATAGTCCTGTCTTTTTCAAGCTGCTGCTACCAAAGCCAAAAACGAGGATGGTATACTTATGTACGCACTTATCGCCAATGGTTCGGCGGAGGACTTCCCGTTGATCGGAACAGATTATTGTAGACTTTTCTCAATGCTGGATTTCAAGTCCAAGCTAGTTGATGCAATACAAGATTTGGCTTACGGCATTTGTTCCTGTAAGTATATAAGCTGCTGCAATGTTTATGCCACTTAAGATAATATATAATGAACGCTCTCGAAGCGTACTGAATGCTGTAAATTACGCAAAAATGTCACCATTTATTATTTGTTCATTATTTTTTAACGACTTTGAAAATATATTGTGACATATCATCATAAATGGTCTATAAATGATCTGGCTGAACTGTAATTTTCTAACTTAAAATGTTAACGTCAATGGCGGGAGCTGAACTAAAAACAGTAATAGACAGCAGACTCAAACTATCGCATACGGAAACCATTAAATGGAAATCAAAATTTAAATGAAAAATTGTTAAAAATCTTATTTAAAATGATCGTAATTTTTAGAGCAAAGTTCATATGTACTACGGACACATGCGTAAATATTATGTTCATAGGTTTTCGGAACTCATTTGGTCTTTTAACATTCAAAGATGTATTGTGTTAATGTTCAATTAATGTCCTTTTTAAAAAATGAATTTAATTGATATACACTTGAACAAACATGACAGCCTAGAGAATTACGGAAATGATGGACTTATATCATGCAACTCAACAATAATTATAAACTCTGTTTTTCTATTTTAGCACTTTCACCTGTACCAATGATCAACTCAACAAATTGTTTCCCTGGTAAATACACTTTACATTTCATGATATAACAGAGCAAATAATCATGATATTGTCTGAAATTCTAATAAACATAATCGATAATCTTTGTATCAAAATTAATTATTTGATAATTTTATCACATTTTAGTCCGTTTGTTTTGATTAATGTTAGTTCATTACAGTTAAAACACTTAATACATTAACAGAAGGTGGCTGATTTATGCCATGCCGTATTTCTGTTCCGCGGGGAGATAAGTTAAAACACGATAAAGTGACGATTTTGTCATACTTCTCCTCGGCGGAGCGAAAAGGCGAAAACACGAAAATACGACGTGACACAAATAAGCCACCATATTAACAAGATACCATCGCACAGGAATGCTTAGCTAGTTAAATATATCATTGCTAAAATCAGTTTGAAATATTGAAGCAATTCCTTATCCATTTATAGCAACAACATATTATTTCTTTGACATCTCGACATATTTTTCTTTTGCATTTGAATGCTAATAATATATAATTTAAAATGAAATTCTTAATAATATTTTTCAGGAACGTACAGAAAGTCTCGCAAAATTGCTGTCACGTGCCAGGTAGAGGATAACATGGTCCAACCTGACCCCAATAATTGCCACTACTACTATAGGTGTGCCTACTTTGACACATCTCCGATCAAATTTGCATGCCCTGGGGATACACTTTACGATCCTATCTCGGGAATATGTAACATGAAAACAAATGTAGCTTGCTACAACGACCTTGTATGTCCAACAGACAGGCCCATGTTACATCCCCATCCTTTAGATTGTAGCAAATTCGTTAACTGTTACAATGATTTTATTCCCCACGTGCAAACATGCCCACGTGGACAAGTGTTTGACCTCTTGCATCAGTCATGCAACATGACAACGTTTGGAGCCTGCATAACTCCCCTGAATCACATAGAACCTGTAACACCTGCCCCTGCCATTGCTCCTCCCGTTATACCAAACAACAATTTGTTTGGATTAAATGACTTTGCAATAAATCCAAATAACAATTTGTTAGGACTAAACAATGCTATACAACCAAATGATAATTTGTTAGGACCAGGTAACAATGCGGTAAAACCAAATGAAAATGTGTTAGGTATAGGTAACAATGTTATACAACCAAATAATAATTTGTTAGGACTAAATAACATTGACTCTTTGGTAGGACAAAATAACAATATGTTTGGCATAGATAATAACAGGCAAGGACAAGGACCAGTGAATAACAATAGAGTAAGACCAAATAAAGAAAGAGAAAGATTTAATTTCAATAGAGACAGACAACATAACAGCAGAGACAGATTTAATAACAATCGAGTAAGACCAAATAACAATAGAATGAGACCAAATAACAATAGAGCAAGACCAAATAATAATTTCAGATTGAAGTAGTTGAAGAAATATCTTTCTATAGACCATAAGAATCAGGTGTTTAGAAAGGGTTAAAAGTAAATAAACGTAAATGTATTAGAAATTTACTATTTTGTAAGGCACTTGCTTATAATTTGTAAAGGTATGACAAATGTTCAGATAAAATGATTTATTTCTTATGTATTATGAAATCAAAGGTTGTGTAAAAGAAATAGTACAAATGTATAATGAAAAACGTAACAAACCGTTTGGTCTTACAGATAGAGCACAAAAACACTACAAATGTTGGTATAATGAAACATGACATCATTACAATAGTTTGTTTGATGCTAACATGAACTCCATATTGTGGTTGTGAAATACTGAGCTGGATTTATACTAAATTTATCTTATCTAATCATTAAGTGTATGTATTAAAATAACAGTTTCAAATAAAGGGGCCTGAATATTAACAGCACATTTCAAACGGAAAATCTTCAAATGACATAGGTTAAAATAGGTTGTTACTATATTGTTTTTGTAAAGGTCATTGTTTCAAAGCATCTCGTTTTCTGTGCGCATTTGTTCAGAATGTATACCTGAATGATTGTTGTGACCATCGCCGTATGAACACATTTATTTATGTATCTTAATTCTACATTAAACGCTATTTCCATAGTAAAATGCTGAGTATTGATTAAGCAGGTGGCAGGGTCGTGGGGGGGGGGGGTGCACAGGGAGCTGCATGGTCGTTACTTTTTATTTTCCAATTTGCGCGAGAATGAGCTCTTTTAAACAGAGTCTGCAGCAACTCCTTTTACTTGAATGTGTTATATTTGCCAACCTTGAATGTGTCTATCTTAAAAATTATAAATAAAAAGATAGAAAAGAAATAAATATATTGTTAAAGTAAAAAATATGTGTTTGTTAGCAAGTAAGTCACATGTATATATTTTGTATTATACTTTAAGACATGTGTGTGTGTGTGTGTGTTTTATATATATATAATCTATTTTTGTCTATACACTTTAATAAATGTTAGTTTATGAGCTATATATCTGACGTAAAAATAATCATAATAGCTTTTATGATATGGCTTGTGGTTTACACGAAATTAAAATAATGTTCTAAAACGATAAGCCAGAGTCTGTTTGTTATGAAAATAAAATTCATTGACTTCATTTCAGATTTGTTTTATTTTTATCTTCTTTAAGAACCATTTCTTAAACATTCTTGTAAAAAGTCAATTACGATTGACAACTTGTAATAACTATGAAGGGATAACAATCATGATAAATTTCGTGCGATAAATCAAATATTTCGTGAATCTGATTAGTTTTCTCAACAAATGAAAGATTATGTTTAAACTCGGTGTTCCTATATGCCCCAATATTCTCTTCAAACTGTATTATATTAGAAAAAATATATAATAAATGGTTAATTTCTAATACAAATCGGAGAAAATATTTAATGCCAGTGCTCTAAATTTATAAATTACGGCACTTAAGATAAATATATTTAAAAGAAAACAGAAATCATACACAAACGAATATTTTTCTAAATATCAATGATATTTTTACTCCTCCAACAAACACTTAATGTCACACTAAATCGCTTTTTCATACAGAAGATCCATGTCAATAAACAGAAATTTTATCAGCAATAAGGACAGATCGACACTAAAGAAGGGGTATGAAACAAATTGATTAATTATCACAAAATATCCGACACTGTAACATGTCTAAGGCTAAATAATTATCATAATGATAAAGCCAATACATTCACAAATCGAAATGATGAAACATGACATGTGTGCATGAAAAATGATAAAGATGCCCAGATACTAAGCAAAGGGTGACATCTTATAACTTATAAATGAAGTTACTCGGAAAACATGCTATACATTTTAAGCCATTTTGGCAATTGCAAAAAATTATCAAAATTTGAAATTGCATAAAAATAAGACCATTCAATTAAAAAAGAGCTTTGGCGCTGACGTTTGAATTAAGTGATTGAAATTGACAGTGGTCAACACTCATTTTTTCATAATATTAATGTCAAATATTATCTCGAAAGTTAAGTAAAGACAGTGTTCTTTTTAAGGCTTTTATCATCCGTGTACTTTATGCTGATAGCAGTCAATATGTTGAATTGTTCTTCTTAGCTATCTCTGTACAAAGCTGAATTATTCTACATTTAAAAGAAGCTTTGGCTGCTACAGCAGGCTTGCTAAGAAATAAAATGTGTGTCCGTGTGTCAACGTCTCAATTTGACGTCATAGTTTTTCGTATCGAGGAAGATTGAAAGAACAATTTCACCAAACGGCAGTTATAAAAATAAGAACGTTTTGTCGAAAAATGACGTAGTAATTACGTAAAATTACCTGTCTTTTGAAATGTTTTTATTTCTATAGTAGAGCAAGTTTGAGGAGCGTAGCTTGTTATAAAATGGAGAGCGAGTGATATTATGATTAAAAAATAAACCTGTATACACTCTTTGGCAACTGATACATGCTTCTATATTGAAATCATTAAGTTTACAACGATAACAAGATAACATAATATGCAAAAGCCATTTTTGAACATTTATTATAAAAGTCACAAAAAGATGAAAAATAAATAAATATATACATTAGTTAATATTACAAACATTACAAAAATATGTGAAACATAAAATAAATGAGTGGAGATGTTGTACATAAATACAATATTTCGTTTTTTAAAAAGGAATAGTTTGAAATATTCGTATGCTTGTGTGCTTAAAAGTCATAAATATCTAATTAACAACACTTCATGCATTTCACAAATGCTTTTCAGAAATGATTATTTTTGTTGCTTTTTGGACCTACATGAGTCTTTACAATATTGCACTGGACAGTTGCCTGCCGCACACTGAGATCTACACCATTGGTCAGCAAATATATAGCGTGCTTTCCAGGAAGCCGTAGCTTGACAAATCTTGCTGGCGCCTAAGTTCACACCATTGCTACCTATCGGTATGAATCCATTACCAGTCACTTCCGGAGTTTTGGCGCCAATTTGCACGGCGCCAATTTGAACGGCGCCAAACCCTGATTGAACGTTATTATAATTGTTTGAGCCAAACGAATTCCCAGACGAAGAAATGGAAACATCAGCACATCCTAGAAACTGTTCTTGTGGACCACATCCCTTACAACAGTTGTTGTTGCTGTCACAATCCCAGTTGCTTGCTTTAAAACAAAAATTGAAAGGTAATATTGCTGGGAGTTTGGTGAAATTCCTTTCTATAAGTTGTTATGCTTCATAATTCATAAGATGATAAACGAGTATTGTTTGATTTGTAACTTAATCATACGAAAACACATATTTAGCTACTGTTTGTAATTAATCATTTAATACAAGGAACGAGTATATATGATTCATAGTATCAGAGTTTTAAAATAATGATCTAGTTGTACTTAGTGTATGAATGTGTGGTGAAGAGGAACTGTCATGTTAAAGAATTTTCATTAAAGTAATTTTTCGATTTTTACCTGTATTCCATTTCCACTGAATCACACACTGGGAGCATGTGAGACCACGTGGTAAAACAAGATTCAATGAAAACTTCCGTGTTCCAGAAGGCAGTCGCCATTTTGTTTGACCATTTGGCTGTCGCAAAAGGTTCATATTCAAACAAGATTCTGTGAATAGATATACATATGCCTGTATCATTTAATAAATAACTTTTTAATACGAAACATGTACAAAATATATATGTTTGAAAAGGTTTGACACATCTTATTTTATTGAGATTATTCACTCTATAATAAACGGAATGAACTAGTCATGAAACGATTTAAAACAAAATCATAAAGCAATTTGTTCATAAAATATACATGAATATAACGAGTAATTTTGATAGGATATACTAGTATTACTATACCTGTAACTGGCTTTGACGGATTATTGTTCGGACAAATACGGAATTCGAAGAAGCCCCCGTGATTTGTTGTGACGTCAATGGTTATTGGTATCGTCTGGCCTTCTGTGTAGTGGCGGGAAATGGTTCCCGTAGCGTATTTGCCCCCGGCTTCGTTATATCTTCGGCCATTATAAGGATCTCCACAAACTCCGCATCGTCCACCATTTTGATTCCACTGAACCTAAAGTTAAAATTTAAAGTTTAGCTGAATTCTTTGAAATTATTTATCTATCATGTATTTTGACATTTATGTTTAATTCATAATGATAGAAACAAACTAGTGACTACTGGTTTATAAATGGAATAATTCTTAGAAATATTATATTGATGTGATATAAATATAATATAATTTAACAAAATATATTATTTACTTGATTCTTTATGATTTGTTGATCAGAAAGAATTTAAAATCTATTAAATGATTGATTACTTACATCAAAACCGCCACAGAAGAGCTGATTATCATCATAATTTACCGGTGTTTGGAAACCATATCTCCACATACTTGATCTAGATGGTGGTTCCACCAAGCGGCCATGACCTTCAGTTTGGATCACGTGATAAACGAGTATTAAACAGGTTGGGAGAATTGACTTTATTATTGCACAGTTCATTTCTGTTTGTAATCTGGAAGCCAGAAACGTGTTCTTAAAGTCCAAAACACAATTTGAAAGTATAACAACAAAACAAATACTTGTCGCAGTCTTGCTCGATTAAAGTAAATGATTAACCATACAAGTAAATTCAATTAATTGCGGTATAACTTGCAACCATGAAGTTAGTATCAAAATGGTACTGTGCATTCAATTAGATATTGACAGAGTTAATGGAAAGAAAAAACGCCTCTAAATAACTTACCTCTTCTGGTTATGAGTATCTATGGCAGCAAAATTTGTATAAATCTCTCTTGAACGCTTAAAATATTCAGCTTTTAAAGTCTGAATAAGTTTTCAGGTTTTGCAAATCAGTGTCTAATAAGTCATAGAAATTGCATTGCTTTTATAGTAAAAATTTACTACTATTTGTTTACAAACTGTGATATGAGTCAACGATATCCGTTTGCAGTTATAACCTCAGATAAGTTAAACAAACATTTCTTCTTCACACCCGTTCCCTATTTAGGTATGCCTTCTGCCACACTATCAGGGTCAGTTAGTAAAAATATGAATGGTAGTTGCCTTAAACTAGCACCATGACGCGTAACTTAACGGTGTTAGACGTAAGAGTGGAAACTCAATTTGATAAAGAATTGATATATTAACCGAATTGAATCAAGTATTACTTTTGCGGACGTAACTTAATCCTTTATTAAATAGTATTTTATAAAACAGCAAAGTAAAAATAAATTGATAAATGAAATTGACGTCTTCAACGAAAAGTTGAAAAAGTTCATTTTTTTACGTCAAACGTTTTATATTTATATGAGTACAAAGTAAACTGAATGACACACAAACTTTAAGATATTGCTATACAACATTTATTTATAAAATGATCAGGTATTGCATACATTGAACAAATTACATTTTAACAACATAAGCATAACAGGATAGACGCTTGAAGAAAAGATAAGCAACTGTCGGTGTAAATGTAAATGTTTGTTAAAAATATCTTAACTAGCAAATAGTACGTATTTCTATTTTCAATGTAACCACACATGAAATTGTAAAGTATACTTTAGTATTTCATTGCACATTACCAATGAAACAGTAAAACAAAATGACGTCTGACCAAATGTTGTTTAAAGGATGCTTCAATGTCACTTTATTTTGAATCCGTTGACTAAATATTGCGTCATCCGTTCCTCTTGCCCGGACTAAAGTATCTTGAATTTAATTAAGTGAAATCGAACGCACACAATATTGTTTAGTGGTTTTCCTCAGCTAATATCATTACAATGCGTTTTTTAATTTGTCGTCGTTTTTGCAGCAAGGGTAAATTATTGCTTAGTTCTGGGAAGAGACTATAGTTTTTATAAAGACATTGATTCACGTTCGTCTGATGAGCTTCTTAGTGAAAGTTCCCAAGTACACGCAGATGATGTATTTTATTAACTTTGTTGTCGGTGAAAACACTGATATCGTATTGCACGAAGCTTTATATTTAAACTAAACAACAAAAGCTTAACAGTGAAGTAATTATTTGTCTGCTCCAAATATGCAAAGATCGTATAGAAGTGCATTCCCGACTTGTGCAAGATCCTCAAAGCTCGGTACCGACAGGTAATGACCGCCGTTGATTGTGAGAGCCCTGTATTCTTCTTCATCTACTCTGTGTCCGATGCCAAGAACAAATATTGATATCCGTTGGAAATTGGCTCGCCACATTTGACGCTCTGTCTGAGAGTATTCATAAGGTGAAAGACGATCTGTAGCGAACATGATTCCGATATGATGCGTTTTAAATCGACCACCTGCCGCTTTTAACCGCATGTTTTTCATCAATTCGTCGTACTTCGGTGTTTCATACATAGACAACCCTTCTTTAACCTTTTTCGGATCAGACGATGGTCTTTCGTCCAGTTCTGATCCACTACAGCCATTTCCCACGGTCATGATCGTCGAGTCACCAAGGACCATGTTCAAGCGGTCGCTAATGTTACCAATAAACTGGAGGACAAACTTAGTGTTCGATCCACCAATTGCAGCTGTGTCGACAGCAAACACAATATCAAGAGGGTTGCGCGGGGTACATCCTGTAAGAAAAAGTAAAAAGAAAACGTCTTTCTTCCTTTCTAACAGGAAAATACGTAATATTTTCATTACATTTCACTAAAGCAGAGATGTGTCAGTCAGACGCATATGAAAGATGTCGCTAAGGGGTCAGAATGTTAGTGCAAAATAAAACATTTTTATGGTAATAGATAAACAATTCAAATGCTAGTACGTAGAATATTACGTTATACGCGTTTTTTTAATGTTTATGACTACGCATGGTGCGTTTCATATGTACACGATTATTTATGCTGCTGGTTACATGTAAAATATTATGTAATACGCGTTTAATATGTTAAAGAATTTTTATGGCGCGTTTCATATGTAGGATACAATTTATGCTGCCTGTTATATGTAGAATATTACAGAATACGCGTTTCATATGTTTTAGACTACGTATGGTGCGTTTAAACAGCGCATACTAAAAATTTGGGACTATTATGATACTGAATTAAGAATTGAAATGGTACCAATCGGGGATCCAGGATTTTTACCAGACGTGGTTGCATTATTTCGGCATGAGGAAATGCATTTGCTAAAGGAGTTACATTGTACTTGTAAGGCACAATCCATCGTTTTTGCTGATATTTACTAACTTGCGTGGGACTTTGGATAGAAAAAAAAACGTAATTTGATATCTAAATCTGACAGGTATTACAAATACTACCCAAATATCAGGCGTCGGGGAAGATGTCATATATCCCTAGTCCCCAATACGAACAAGCAAGTTACTTTTCGGCTGATTGAACTATCATCACTAAGACCAGTTCAATATATTATGGGCAATTTATTAAGAACAAAATATTAACTTGCGTTGTTATGTAGATTAAATTTCGTACGGTTAGTTCAGATGCGGTCAATAGAATTAGTCACCCTGAAAGACGGTCTTCCTAATGATCTTACTGTGCATCGAAACTCAGAGTAGAGCCGCCAAAATCACTCAAATTTAATGTTTATTTAAGTTAAACTTACTTCCAAAGGATACGAGCTCCTCTTCTACTTCTGCTTGTGTATTCTGAATATTTGGAGAGGGGGTAGCTGGTTTTTCTACAATGAGAACGATACTATAACATGATCAATTTGACCTACTATGACTTTTGAGCTGTTACTGTGGTCTGAATCAATCTTTTATTTGGATAGTAATATAAAGGTTAAATATTTATATTGGTGTTAAAGTTTTATATAATTATCTTTCTTAATGAACATTCTCTATTTTTAACAGATGATTTACTTTCCAGTACCGTCCATAAACACACATACTAAGACCGGGCCTTCAACATTTTCAATTTTGCCGTGTAGAACTTTCTTTAGGAATTCTATGTCTCTCTTTTCTATATTTTTGGTGTTGATGTTTCTATAACACACTCGAAGATTAAAAAGGACGAATGCATTTAAGTTGAAGTGTTAGATTAAGCAAGCTATTTCCAAATGGTAGTCTAATTAAATTGCCGAAAAGTGTTCTTTATGTGTACGCATTATCTTATATAGCCTGAGAAAGGACTAAGAGAAAACGTATGTCATACACTTAATAAAGTATGATGATCTTTTGATTAATCGCCTTTTTTAGTTTCTCTTTTAATTTCCTGTTATTGTCTTATGAAGATTAACACTTGAATTATTCATGAACACTTATTAGGACGTATATCCTTGCACAGTCCCCTTTTTTCAGTGCCGCGTTTGGTCCGATCTATGTAACGTTGGGGGCTTCGGTCGGTAAACATCACTCTTCCTTGTCTCTCTTTATTTTTTAGTTTGAATGAAGAAAACAAACTTGAACAAGATTTCCTTTAACAATCGTTCCAGTAAAATGACCATATTGTTTTTTCTTCTTCCGCATTATAAAGATACTCATCTATACCAGTATATCGGGCCGAGAACTTTTTGACATCGTAGAAACAGTACCCTAGTAAAAATTGAAAAAAGGATAAAAAACACCTACCTTCACAAGCTTTGCCTGCAAGATTTCCAATAATAGTTGTCAGAGCGTTGAAATTTTCTATCATGAACACATATCTGCCAGAGGGTTTACTTGCAATTGTTTCAAGTTCCATTTTATCAATTTGCTTCCCAATTCCTGGAAAAAACATAAGCCAAAAATAAAGCTCTTTACTTTCATATAAGTCTCTTTTTTCGTTATTAGAACAGCAGGTGACGACCTAAAAGTTGAACCGCGCTAACACTTTTTAAATTTACTCATGTCAAGCAAGTGTGTAATGGAATATTCGAAAAGACTGTACGCTTATGACTAAAGACGACGTGTTATGCCCGTGTGTTCATGCATCATGTAAAGCAGTGTTTCTATTGTGATTATGATACATCTGTCGACGATTACCATCTGTTAGGATGATAGCAATATGAGGAATACCTGGTCTTGTGTTCTTCTCAGCAAAACCCTTAAATACACGAAGCATGATTAAGATACTTTTCAAATGAAAAAAAAAACAAAAAAAACCAAAAAACAACAAAACATTTGGGATCATAAGTTGAAACGCATCGAAATCACCAGGTGGTTATGAAATATTCGCATCATTTGGAATTCTTGTCTCGTATTCATTATAATTGTATCCTATAAAGTGTAAATTTCAAATTTGTTTAACTTGCTCTTTCACACACCTTACAGCGAATGTGAAAAAAATGCTATTGTAAAAATATTAATACATTTGGTAGAGACAAGAGTCGTTAAACAATGAGAATAAAGATTTCATTGATTTCAATAGTTGATCCTTTGTATTTTCTTCATCAATACTTGTTTTCACAATGCGTCTAGTTGTTAATAATATAAGCCTATAACGTTTGATGAAATAATACAGCAACACCGTCGTCATCGTCAAAAGTTTTCGACTAAATTTAGTATTTTGAACAAACAATTCGCAATAAAAGTTAAACATACCTTTGTGTGAAGGTAGTTTAGGGCTTCTCCTGTATTCGTACCGTAACCCTCCCATGTTATGTCTGATATCTTTCGGAAAAGATCCCCTCGGTTTTTATAGTCACCGAGACCAAAATGAGGTGTCACTGTTTTACTGAAATAGAACACATGTAAATGAACGTATATTAAGTCTTATTTTATAATTGTTTTATAGAACTTTAAAATTGTCACTTTTTAAGATTAAGATAAAGCACATGCATTCACCTATTATACTTTTTTAACAAAATGAATCTTTGAAAACACCGTGGTACAACTTAACAAAACAATAACTGCAAATTATGAACAAAGTGCTTCCCTGCAGTATGACCCTACTCTATACGTTTTACTGACTAACTTTAATATTTCGACTTAATATCTCAAATACTTATTACGGGCTATTACAAATGGGAACTGGACGATCCACTGAAGGGTACTTTTACCAATATTCTTGTTGATTCTTAAAATAATAAACGAAAATTGCCGTACATTCAGATGATATATCAATAATAAACTAAATTTAAATTAAACTGAAAAAAGCAATCCCCAAGAACGCCTAAAACATCAAGATTTGCCATGTTGCAGCCTGTTCAGGAACGGTATTAATAAGTGTAGGTTAACATATCACGCACTCTAACACCGCCTGGAGCAGATTTGAATATTGAAACGTAAAAACGTTAAATTTTTGAACTTAGAAACATCCGTATATGGGGCGTCCGTGCCCGAGTGTTTAAGGTCGTTGACTTCAAATCACTTGCCCCTCACCGCTGTGGGTTCGAATCCCGACAGGGACTTTGGATTCTTTCATGTGAGGAAGCTATCCAGCTAGCTTACGGAACGTCGGTGGTTCTACTCCGGTGCCCGTTCGTACCTGAAATATGCACGGAAGGGCACCTGAGGTCTTCCTCCACCAGTAAAGCTGGAACGTCGCGATATGACCTAAAATGTGTCGATGTGACGTAAAACCCAAAACAAACAAACAAACATCCGTATATATATGTATACATAGAAAGTAGCAAAGAATCCCTTAAGAACGCACAAAAACGACAAAACGGAAAATGTTACAGGCTCGCCTGTTTATGGACGGTAATGGAAAGTGCAAACTACCGTACACACCCACTTGCACCGGCTTAAGCAGAATTCAACATTTACAATCGAAATGGCGAAAATTTGAATTTAGAAACATTCGCAGATGTGTTCACACGGCGGTTATCATGGAACCTTCAATGCATGTTATATTTTAGTACAGTTATTTACTTTTATTGATACTGGTTGCATACCTGAACGTTATAAGGCCAACTCTAACTTTGTCATCATCCAAGTCAAATACCGACGCCACATTTTGTGTAAATCTTAGTTCTTTTTCAAAATCTTCACTCGAGAGACTTCCGGAAGAATCGAGTGCAAAAAAGACGTCAGCAGGCTTCCCTCCACAATCGGCTGAAAACATAAGAGATGTGTCCTGCGTTCACGCTTTATATCGGTCATGGCGTATTTATGAAAAAGTGTTGAGAAATAAATATAGTTCATGAAAAACCTTGAATGAATTAAAAATGTCATCTTGGACATTAAGGTAGTTTGCCTGCCAAGGTTATATTTCAAAAGTCAAAAGTTAACAAACAGACTTGACAGGATTCAATTTATTAATTGAAGCGGCAATTTAAAATAAATTGGTTTGAAGAAATAGTCTATGGTTTCACTGAAGAAATATCGGAAAAATCACTTGCTTGTATGCAAACTATCACTGTTATCATGTGATAAACGTTTTTATCATTCTTCCAATTGTGCCAAATTAAAATATACATAATTTCATATATAAGGATAATTGCATTTTGGCTTGTTATTTTCTTCGAATTTTAAATTCAAGGCAAAGTCTTAATATAAAAGATTAAAAATAGCAAAATGCGAGAACCTTGAAAATCTTACAACATAGACGTAATATTACCTATCTGCTATTTAAATTTATTTTGAAATGTTTATTCTCTACAAAACCGTAAGATCATGGTAATATAGTATTCATTTTATCCATTGTTAATACTATATTTAGTTATATATTCAAGAATCATTTTTCTTTGTAAAATTTTCACAATTTATTTCGGAATTTACATTTCAATTTATTAACAATAATTAATAATGAAAAAAGAAAAAAATGTACTTACGTTCCGAGTCAGAGGCTGCTACCAGCACCTACACAAAATCATAACACAATCATCATAACATTTGAAATAAAATTAAATGTTTAATAGATTATCATTAATCAGAATACAGTAAAAGAATAAACAATATTATTGCTTGAAATAGTCTGAAGCGAAAACAAGAGTTTTAACATTTCATAGTTTTCTTTACTTATAAAGCGAAAATATCTTATACGTTTGTGTAAATCTATTCAAATTGGAAATTTAAATAAAAGAAATTATTACCACAAGTAGACTCGCTAAAACGCAGGTAATCCCAGCATGCATCATTTTAGACAACAGAATGAAATCCGGCTTTGAAAAAAAGGCACAATCATACACAATGAACGGCGTGCAGCTTCTGACCGACGGATGACAGCAGTGAATAAATGTCCTATATTCTAGCTGATTATATATGCATGATTGTTACCATATTTCCTGGCTATCTCTTCATGTTTCAATGCCAGTCCGTTCCCTACGGATAATGATATTGAAAGCAAAACATCCGAAATTAATTAATTAACTTTGCTTCAACAAACTCCAACGATTAAATTTAATCCAAAAATATAGTATTTTATATTATATGAGGAACGGGTAACAGGACCCAATATGAATTTTGGTCATGTGATATGTTTCCGGCCAGTGCTCTAGAAATGGTTTGTTTTCCTTTATTTTGATGGATTAAACTAATTACGTCAATCTATCACGATGTAACAGTATGAGCTTTTCTGAAAAACAAACTGTCCCAATGGCTATTTAATTGTTGTTACAAAATGCTATAATGCTAATTTACCAATTGATGGGATTATTGATATAATATTTGTCCTGAATCCCGCGTGCATAATACTTAATTAGACATTTCCCCCTGTTTTTATCATTGACATTTTTATCTTTACAACGCAGTTTGGTAATATGGCTTATTTTGACATTTATTCATATGATTCTGTTTCCAGTCACATATATTCATGTACCAAACTGAGGTCGGCACTCTTTCGATATAAGTTTACTTTAATTTATCCATCCTTGCAATTTTTAAGGAATAACCTTCCTTATATATAAATACATCTAGCAATGAGGGAAATTATATTTCAATTTAAGAGAGTGAGGATATTGCCTCACATAAAATGGAGTTCTCTTACTTAACAAACTCAGTAGGTTTATTAATGATATATAAGTACTATATTTGCTATACTTTTCAAGTTTTGTTACTGGATAAGAATTGTGTGTAATTTTAGATACATTACATAACACTAAGTGCTCTAGAAAGATACCTTTCTGCGGAAACTGTGGACACGAACTGGGAAAACAACAACTAAATCTAATAATTGAGATTGGATGATTGCCTGTAGCAAGGTAAACGCTGGATTGTGGCATTCACAGTTTTAGAAATTGAATCAAAGCATCCCACTCACATTCTGATTTACACGCATGTTTCTTAACAGCTATCATCTACTTTTTATCACGAACTAACGTTTTCTTTTTCGTTATTCCTCAAGGTGAATATAAGGCCTACGTCTTGGTCTATTTTCAGTTCATTGATGATATATTTGAAGACTTCTTTTTAAAGAAATGTCACGTTCTCACGCGTGTTATTATTTTCGCGTCTAACATTAATTGGTACGAATAGCTCCCGTATATAACATTTTCACTACTAGTACAAATCTTTAGAGAATCATCGAGTTATATTTTTTTCAGAAACACGTACCTATACGCACGAACAAATTACTTTTTAAGTGCAAAAATTCGAAAAGTAAAATATATTTTGTCTAAGAAAATACACCCATATCAAATGTATCCATTCGTGCGATCAGTTTGATACTGGGGGTAAACAGACTACGTCACTCACAGAAGAATCTGAATCTTTGCAATGAGAAATCGTTTCCATTTAAACATTCATAAAGAATCTTTAGTACCAATATATCATCATGAGATTCAGTTAACGCATCATGGCAACAAACATTTTTTTTTGTATAATTAACATAAAAATCTAATAATGATACAAATATACAAACAAAACTAATCGTATTATGTCAGTCGATTTTTGTGTGTGTATTTATCAACAATTTCAGGGAAGAGCAACTAAACAATGTCGAGTGAATCAGCTTGCAGGAAAAAAAGAAAGGTATATTGTCAAAGTTTATACATATTACATAAAAAGAAAACGATTTGTGTGACAGTGAATCAGTTATCACCGCATCTGAAATAGCAGGCTTAACTAATCAAAATTCGTTGATAACACTTCTTTCGAAAACAATATAAATATCCAAAATATAAAGCTACATCATATTTTCTTCCACTCAGACATTCTGTGTATTAAATATGCAAATTGGGTACTTCACTGATGATGTATTACTACTCGGTAATATTTGTTACTGATGTTATATTGATTTTTGAATTAGTTAACAAATGGAACTGTTAGACATGCAAATATTTATGATGATTAAAACGGAATCATTTTTCATGCTCCTGAAAATAAAAGTATAGTAGCAAAGTGAAACCTCTCTGAATTGTCAGTGTATGTGTTAAAAAAGACAATTGCATTTGTGCAGACGTTTTTAATCGAACATGTGAATAATAATAATAATAATAATAATAATAATAATAATAATAATAATAATAATAATAACAATAATAATAATAACAATTATAATTAAATAAATAAATAAATTAATTAATAAATTACTACTGAAGTCCGCTAAGGGTTCGCTGAGCTTGTTACTATTTTATTCAACTTGTTTGATAAATTAATACGTCATATATAATTAAAACGAACACGGGAACGTCTTTTGATATGTATTGCTTGATATTTGTAAGATATCAAAATGAATGTTTAAATCCAAAAGCCAGCAGCGAGGGACATACATGCACAGGTTAAGATTGTTAAAGAACCCAACACGGTAGGTTTGCTATTATCATAGTTTCATTTTAGATTAAGAAGGGCGAACAAGTTTGTTCCTAATAACCGGATATTCACTATAGCCATGTTCGTTATTTGTGAAGTTTACTGTTATATGTTAATATAACCGATGTTACCCATGGCACGCTAACATGGCAGTTTTTCATTTCATAAGGTCATTACGATTTACTAGATAATATTTACTACAAAATAGGAAATGAAACTTAATTAATATCTTGAGAGCTACATAAAAAAATAATAAAAATAGTAATAATTACATGAATGTAAATTTTACACTCCATTTGTATCAGTTTGATGAGAATTTACTAAACTATTCATTACACTCAATTAATTTTTAAAGAAGCATTTAATATTCAGAACTAAAAGTACTATGTGACTATTAGAAGTATAACAAATACCAGATGTTTTAACAAAATGTCTTTTTCAACTTCGATTATTTTGTTTACATCAAATGGTTTAGTAGAAATGTCTAAATAAATATTCAAGGCATCATTGATTTGATGCAGATACACCTGCAAACCATTTAAATCATCATAAAGGCCACAAGCGATGAAAGTTTCTCCCGATGATATAATAATCAGACATTTAACGTAATAATTCTCCACTCAATAACCATTACATGACATAACATAATATACCATTTTATCTTTAGAATACGGTAAGCTGAGAAGTTGCCCAACCCACCAAATCTGAAATACTGCGGGGTCATTTTGACTGACTCTCTTCATGACCAAAAGTAGTAAATGCACGTCCACGTCCATTAACAGACAGGCGCATTACAGTTATAATACCGTAATGCCGATATTGATGACAATATCAAATTCAGTTTTCGTAACACATTAGTGTTGCATGTATGCTTCCAATGGACCTTGTATTATTCGCATGTTTTAAATAATGTATTTGTTATAACAAACTTTCTAGTGCCTTTTTGTAAAAACTTTCTTTATTAACAATTATAAATAAGGAATTAGTATTTATGGAAGGCATAAGTTATAGCTAATAATAGCAAATAGTTCAAAATGTATCATAAATTAGAAAACAAGTTTTAAGTAGTCCTGTAAAGCAACCAGCTGTAATTTTCCTTTAAGATTTGAATGCAATAAACACGTTCAGGAAAAAAAATAAAGGAATTCCTGCAAAAACTCAACAAGTGATACTAATGATACTTAAGTGCTTAACAGTTGTGGGATATATCGACGGTTAAATGATAAACGCGAAACACATTGCATGCGTGGGTGTTATCATTTTTAAGAGAGAAAGTAGGAAAATAGTGCGCTTGAAACTATAATCACAGCTGATAAAACGAATTATGATGGAACAGCGAGAACGTTATCGCAGGACCTAATATTGTTAGATCTTGCCCGTTTTGCATGTTACAGGATTTATACATCGTATATTTTTTAACAGAACAATTCTAATTTTTCTAATGATGCATTTATTGTAAGAGGTCCATCGTGGCACGCAAAGTAAAATATAACAATTTAATAGAAATGAACAAAATACTGTGTTTATTTGGAACCAAACGATAATTTCAACACATCATGTTGTTTCTGGAGACAAAATAACACGCCATGTAAGATAGCAATAGGTGTACAAACACAACTGAAATCAGGGTTTATGTTTTAGTTTATACTGTTTCCTGACGGTCATGTTCACCACATGTCTGCGCACGCGCAGTAGATATAGTCTTACAAATATCACGCCACACCGGTACTTCAAAATATATATAATACATATTCTTTCCTTGATATATTGAGGAATAATAATAAGAGCGAATGATTTGACTTTGGTAGATAAAAGCCTGCTTCCGTCCCTTTTTCTGTTATCCAAGACCATCCTTACTATGGTGTGACTATATGTCAACAATATCACTGAAGTCACACTTACCTAAATGGTTATTGTATTTGTAAGCATAATGACTTATAAACTAAACTAGTTTATTAAATAGGGTTGTAGGGTACAAATACCCAGTATGGATGTCAAATATTTTCGTAACTGAATTGAAAATGTTGTTAAACAGCAACATGATGTGTCATTCGCAAATGTGGGTTTGGTTATAATCATTAATAAATTAAATGGAAATATAGTATAACATTGTTATTTGTCAATAACCTCTCCTATATATGTATCATTATTGTTGATGGAAATAGTGTTAATCTAGACATTTTGGTATGTTACCTCATTACGCTATTGCTAGCACGTGGCAGCTTTTAATTTTTTTTACACCATAGAAAAAATAAAATGTAGGTTTCCTCGGTTTAATTAATTACTTTTTTTTATTTTCTAATCTGGCGATTCAAAGCACTTTTGGTACTTAGACAATTATAATATTGTTATCTCGCACTGGTAGACTTTTTATTATAAATGAACTTAAGACTTAATGAATTTACTCAAAAGTAATTCGCAGTCAAAAAAATCTACACTTTACATTTTGATAATTACATGTGACGTTCACCAATCCAACAGTCTACTCAAGTATTTTTGCAACTTAAACGTAGTCCACCCAAAGTCTGCAATCTTTCTTCTGTGCCAATCTTTATAATGCTTAATTAATGTTTTGACATATAAATCCACGTCAACGTACCTTATAAACTTTTTAAGGTACGTCATACTTCGATCTTATACGTATAATATCGGATTAATTAACGCTTTCAAATCCATTTTCTGTTATGCACCTTATCAAATCACAACTTGAATGCTTTCGTCACAGCATTAAGAGGATTAACGCCATGTTTTGAAAAAGATCCGATACATTCATTCATAAATCAACTCACTGACCCTGAAAGAGAGTGATAAATGATGATAAAATCATGAATGAAAATACCAAAAGTAATGCCCCAATGTTAGGGAGCATTATTTGTATAACTTATCTGCGATGTTAACCGAAACGGATATGATTGACTCATAAAAACAAAGTTTGTAATTATTACGTTCTTAAAATTTTACTATAAAAGGACACCACGTTAAGTTAACTATAAGAAACATTTTAAGAAGCTTGACACTAAAGACGGGTTAATTAAATATTTAACTAATTTTAAGAAGTTCACGCTGTTACAATTTGCAGATATTACTTATTTTGTAATACCCAGGACCATAAGAGGTACTATATTTTTAGACATGGGTATCTCTTTTACCCTTTAGTTTAGTTGCTTTTGAAAATTGTCGTTTGCTAAAAACGTCGTCTGATTCGACTGCATCGTCAAATTCTAAGTAACTTATAATTAAGCAGAAGCTACGTTTAAAATTATACGCAATAGGTTAGCATATGTCGTTCAAATACAAGCTACAAATATCTTTTGAAATTAAATCAATTTAAATAGGATATCCGTAGTAGCATATTTTAATGACAATATGCTCAATGATTTCATATAAGAGAAAACATTAATGACGTTTCAATATTTGTGCATTTTTCTTGTGATATAGTTCATAAAATATTTAAATATGACTATTCATTAAACATTAACATTATGTCAATGCGATAAATATGTTAAAATAATAGAATCTAAGACTTAAGGAACTAACCTAAAACTTAACTGAAAATTGAAATTTAACGCTTTATTATATTTCAGATTATAAGAAATGAACTGTGCAATCATGAAGTCAATTCTCCCTACCTGTTTAATACTCATATACCACGTGATACAGACCGAAGGTCATGGCCGTTTGGTTGAACCGCCTTCAAGATCAAGTATGTGGAGATATGGCTTTCAAACACCGGTCAACTATGATGATAATCAACTTTTCTGTGGTGGTTTTGATGTAAGTAGACCATTCCCAGATTCATTATAATATTTAATCCGCAAGATCTTTAAAAGCATTATTGCAAGGACCTAAATAGTCGTTTTGAATTCATGTCTTTTATGACAATTCAAACTAGTTACTGAAGTACAGTAAGGTTCCGCTAATTGGACCAAACAAAATGGCAATCTTTATAGCAAAACAGTCTCGAAAACTGATGAATTTTACTCAGTATTCTAAGGCATTTTCTATATGTATGATTTTGAAATAATTAAAAGATTCAGTGAAAAGTTGACATGCTTCCTCATGATACATAAAGCATTCAAATTTGCTTTTCAAATATAACATTATATCATTGGAGAACCTAAATTTGTTGCATTCGTTACCGCATAAATACTAACAAGTTGGTGGTTTGATAGTTTGGAACACAAATAATATATCCAAATTATTCTTTTATTACAGCAATATGTAATGATACAAAGTTTGAAACCGCTTTAAATACAACAATATAGCTGGGTTTGTTTGAAACAATGTTCAGTAAATATTTAAATGCTCTCTTCAGGTTCAGTGGAATCAAAATGGTGGACGTTGTGGAGTTTGTGGAGATCCTTATAATGGACAAAGAGATAACGAAGCCGGGGGCAAATACGCTACGGGAACCATTTCCCGCCATTATACGGAGGGGCAAACGATACCTATAACTATTGATGTCACCACAAATCACGGGGGCTTCTTCGAATTCCGTATATGTCCGAACAACAATCCAGCTAGACCAGTAACAGGTATATTATATAAGCAAGTAAAAGTTTGAAAAGAATTGTTTAAGGTTTCATCTTATTCATCTATTTTATTTTAATTTATATTTCTGAATGGAAAGTGGAAAGCAACTTATATTGTGTCTTTTTTAAAACTTTAAAAAAAAATCTGAAAAGGTTATCTTCCCGAAGAGGAGTAGAACACCGAACTCCTTAAAAGAGGGCCGCAAGTTCGAATCCTGCTACAGACGGCTTCCTGAATCCATACTAGTGCGATTACTGGTTTAGAAACCTAGGAAGCTGTCATTTTATGTAACTTAAACGCAACTTTAATGTTTTCGCGTCTCCCCATACCGGGGTTTACATTTATGGGAAACAAACACAAAATACATCAAATATGAAAAAAAAAAAAAAAAAAAAAAAAAAAAAAAAGCTACAGTTCATCACTTGGTTAGGAAAGACAATGACAAAGGCAGTCAACAATCATCTATCATCAGCTTAAGTTAAGCTCTTATCCATTGTCAATGTTTGAAGTATTGAGTTAAATATTTACCATTATTTCTTATTGTTTTATGTTATATGACTTTTGTTTCTATCAATAAACATAAATTTAAACAATTATTTGTAGAATCGTGCCTAAACATGAACATTTTAAGACAACCGAATGGGGAAACAAAATGGCGACTGCCTGCAGGAACAAAACAATTCACATTGAATCTCGTACTACCTCGTGGTCTCACGTGTTCTCAGTGCGTTTTGCAGTGGAAATGGAATACAGGTACAAAATTATCTTAGTATATTTATTACGCTTGTAGAAAAACTGTTTTTATTAATACAATGATAAAGAATTGATTTATATATATTGCTCTCTATTTCAATACATCAACTTTCATTTTGTATCTCGAAAAGAATGTAAATAAAATTTGGACATTTGTTTCTTTTAAGAATGATGCTCGTTCAAGTACAACTAGTTAATTTGAATTAGTTTATACGGGAGCTTCAATATAAGATCATGATTATTTGATAGATATCTTTTTTTACATATAAAAGTGAATGTCTATTTTTAGCAAGCAACTGGGGTTGTGACAACAACAACAACAACTGTTGTAAGGGATGCGGTCCACAGGAACAGTTTCTAGGATGTGCTGATGTTTCCATTGCTTCGTCTGGGAATTCGTTTGGCTCAAACAACAATAACAACGTTCAATCAGGGTTTGGCGGTATACAGATTGGAGCCGTTCAAATTGGCGTCAAAACACCGGAAGTGACTGGTGATGGATTTATACCGATAGGTACTAATGGTGCAAGCTTAAGCGGCAGCAAGATATGTGAAGCTACGGCTACCTGGAAAGCACGCTATATATTTGCTGACCAATGGTGTAGATCTCAGTGTGCGGCAGGCAACTGTCCAGTGCAATATTGTAAAAACACATGCAGGTTTTAATATAAAATAACTTTGTCCAGTAACAGCGTACATTCTTAAACACACTTAAGACTACACATTGTTAAAAACATTCATAACCATGTTTAAGTTTCATTTACATGTTAGTTCCGGTCATGTTGAAGTACCCGCCATGTCCTTATTCGCACAAAAAGAAATTGACAAATTTCACTTTTAGAATTCTTCTTCACTTAAAATGCTTATTATAGGTTATATAAACATTTGTTTCAAACAATATGTACAACAACCCAACTAGATTTACTCATTTTATTCTATCATTTATTTATTATATTAGCGGTATTTGTAGAGATGTTTTATGTTTATTGATATTTTCTATTTTTTTATGTCTTTTACAATAAAAGATTTTCGATGAGAATTGTTTTGCCACTTGATAATTCAACCGATTTAAGAAGAAACTAATTTATATATCTATTCTTTGCTTATTTACATTGCTAAGAATAACATGCTGTATTACAACGAGTAGAATATTCCTTTTCTAATGAATTTCTAAACAGCTATAAGCAAGAAAAAGATCATCCTACGTACATGCATCAATACCGGCAAAATGATGATATTCAATACTTGGCGTGAAATATTTGTCAAATCGTTTAGTGCGTTGTATCAACGTTTCTTGTGTTAACTGTAAAACACATTAGATTCTCTAAAAAAGGACTTATCACTTGTGAACCATCATATCAATAATCAGTATTTGGTTCGTACACGATTATGGACACATCCTGTCGTTCCTCTGAATGAAGAATCAAATGTCAGAGTCGGGTATTGTTATATTGTGTATTGTCAGAGTTGAGTATTATCAGAGTTGAGTATTATCAGAGTTGAGTATTGTCATAGTTGAGTATTATCAGAGTTGAGTATTATCAGAGTTGAGTATTATCAGAGTTGAGTATTGTCATAGTTGAGTATTGTTAGTGTTGAGTATTATCAGAGTTGAGTATTGTCATAGTTGAGTATTGTAAGTGTTGAGCATTGTCAGTGTTGAGTATTGTCAGAGTTGAGTATTGTCAGTGTTGAGCATGTTCGTGTTGAGTATTGTATGTGTTGAGTATTGTCAGAGTTGAGTATTGTCGGAGTTGAGTATTGTTAGTGTTGAGTATTGTCAGAGTTGAGTATTGTTAGTGTTGAGTATTGTCAGAGTTAAGTATTGTTAGTGTTGAGTATTGTAAGTGTTGAGTATTGTCAGAGTTGAGTATTGTCGGAGTTGAGTATTGTTAGTGTTGAGTATTGTCAGAGTTGAGTATTTTTAGTGTTGAGTATTGTCAGAGTTGCGTATTGTAAGTGTTGAGTATTGTCATAGTTGAGTATTGTTAGTGTTGAGTATTGTCAGAGTTGAGTATTGTTCATGTTGAGTATTGTAAGTGTTGAGTATTGTCAGAGTTGAGTATTGTCGGAGTTGAGTATTGTTAGTGTTGAGTATTGTCAGTGTTGAGTATTGTTAGTGTTGAGTATTGTAAGTGTTGAGTATTGTCAGAGTTGAGTATTGTCGGAGTTGAGTATTGTTAGTGTTGAATATTGTTAGTGTTGAGTATTGTCAGAGTTGAGTATTGTTAGTGTTGAGTATTGTAAGTGTTGAGTATTGTCAGAGTTGAGTATTGTCGGAGTTGAGTATTGTTAGTGTTGAGTATTGTCAGTGTTGAGTATTGTTAGTGTTGAGTATTGTCAGAATTGAGTATTGTCATAGTTGAGTATTGTAAGTGTTGAGTATTGTCGGAGTTGAGTATTGTCGGAGTTGAGTATTGTATGTGTTGAGTATTGTCAGAGTTGAGTATTGTTAGTTTTGAGTATTTTCGGAGTTGAGTATTGTTAGTGTTGAGTATTGTCAGAGTTGAGTATTATCATAGTTGAGTATTGTTAGTGTTGAGTATTGTCAGTGTTGATTATTGTCATAGTTGAGTATTGTCAGAGTTGAGTATTGTTAGTGTTGAGTATTGTCGGAGTTGAGTATTGTTAGTGTTGAGTATTGTCAGAGTTGAGTATTGTCAGAGTTGAGTATTGTAAGTGTTGTGTATTTTCGGAGTTGAGTATTGTCATAGTTGAGTATTGTCAGAGTTGAGTATTGTCGGAGTTGAGTATTGTTAGTGTTGAGTATTGTCGGAGTTGAGTATTGTCAGAGTTGTGTATTGTTAGTGTTGAGTATTGTCAGTGTTGACTATTGTAAGTGTTGACTATTGTCGGAGTTGTGTAATGTAAGTGTTGAGTATTGTCGGAGTTGTGTATTGTAAGTGTTGAGTATTGTCGGAGTTGTGTATTGTAAGTGTTGAGTTTTGTTAGTGTTGAGTTTTGTCAGAGTTGAGTATTGTAAGTATTGAGTATTGTCGGATTTGTGTATTGTAAGTGTTGAGTATTGTCAGTGTTGAGTATTGTTAGTGTTGAGTATTGTCGGAGTTGTGTATTGTAAGTGTTGAGTATTGTCAGAGTTGTGTATTGTTAGTGTTGAGTATTTTCAGAGTTGTGTATTGTTAGTGTTGAGTATTGTCAGTGTTGACTATTGTTAGTGTTGAGTATTGTCGGAGTTGAGTATTGTAAGTGTTGAGTATTGTCAGAGTTGTGTATTGTAAGTGTTGAGAATTGTCAGAGTTGTGTATTGTTAGTGTTGAGTATTGTCAGTGTTGACTATTGTTAGTGTTGAGTATTGTCGGAGTTGTGTATTGTAAGTGTTGAGTATTGTCAGAGTTGTGTATTGTTAGTGTTGAGTATTGTCGGAGTTTTGTATTGTAAGTGTTGAGTATTGTTAGTGTTGAGTATTGTCAGTGTTGACTATTGTAAGTGTTGAGTATTGTCGGAGTTGTGTATTGTACGTGTTGAGTATTGTCAGAGTTGTGTATTGTTAGTGTTGAGTATTGTCAGTGTTGACTATTGTTAGCGTTGAATATTGCCAGATTTTGTTTCTTTTTTGGCGCCTGCAAACAGTTTGTCATTCACACAAGGAAATACTTTGTATCTGTCAAAATATTCTGTAGGAACACACCTAGGATTTAGAAAAAATAAACACACATATATTTATATATTTAAATATGCCTACTGTATATGTAACACGCCTTTTCAAATATCGCAATCAGACTAAAATGCCTCTATTTCGTGGAGTATATGTGTGTTAATATTCTTTATCAATAGCATAAATAGGTTATATAATATTAATATATAATAAATAAATTCAAAGTATTTTCAAAGAATAAGTTTCCGCATTATTACACGTCGAGTAAAATTATCAATTGTGAGATTACAAACAAAAATAAAAGAAAACAAACCAAATTTAAGAAAAAAGTACAAGGCGCTTTCTATGATATCAAAAGATAAAAAAGAGCTAACATTAGTTGAATCTGAATGAAAACAACTTTGAAAATACTAGTCATCGTGTGTTGATGATTTCTGCCAGTCTTTCTTGCCTTACCTTGCGCCCTGTCCTATTTTTGTTTGGGGACCTACATGGCTCCTTGTCGCTGGTTCTTGTTGCTGGGTCGTTTGGGGGTTGCGTTCATTAATGGCGTTTATTCCTTGTTGATCTTGTTTATCATATTTTTGTCTTAAAGATGTTCATCTCATAGAGAAAAACCCTAAGTCATTCATCACTGTTAAACCTCCACTTACTGACATAAGAAGAGTTTAAGTACAAACAAACAACTCGCACTAAATTGTGTGAGAAACTGTCTGTTTTTATTCTTGTAATGTAAAAGCAAGATATAAATGGCTAATATACCCTAAAGCATCCTAACGCCTTTTTTTATAACTCTCATATAATATATTTGTAGAGAAGTCACGTACTCACGAGTGTCATTATACCATACATTTTGTATCATTTTATACAATTAACTTAATTATGGATAAATATACTATCTGTACAGGAATAGTCAAATATACCCACGCATTACAACCTTCCAGCAAGATATTTCTGAACAAATTAATCCGATCATTCAACTGTCATTTGAGCCGTGCCACGACAAAACCAACGTAATGGGTTTGCGACCAGCATGGATCCAGACCAGTCTGCGCATCCGCGCAGTCTAATCAGGATCCATGCTGTTCGCTTACAAACCATATAACAAGTAGAGAAACTGATAGCAAACAGCATAAGAATGCGCGGATGCGCTGGCTGGTCTGGATCCATGCTGGTCGCAAACCCATTATGTTGGTTTTGTCATGGCGCAGCTCATATTTATGTAAAAGACAAAATACATACCAGCCTTTTTTCCAAAACTGACGGCATACACATAAACTATAGACCTTGCTGTCTTCTATTCCATCGACAAAATTAACTGTTAATTGTGTATTTGTAAAAAGGGATACATCCTTTAAAATTTTATTATCATTTCAAGGCATGTCAGATAATATCAAAATTAGCACAGACGCTTTTATTAGCAAATGAGAAGTAACCGAATAGAAAACTAATATTAATATTTGATAACCATTTTTCACCCTTTCATTAACCCCGTTACTATATACAGGAACAAGTTAACACATTTGAACAACAAAAAAGAATCTGATGCGAAATATAAAAAACATGAAATAAAATGATTAAAATGTTACTCGTGTACGTCACCTTTGTCTTAATATTGTAAAATCTATTAGGATTATAACATGCGTATATGTAAAAGTAATACGAATATTAAACTGTAAAATATTTTGTATTACAGAATATGTTTACAAATAGATTTGTAGAAGTTGTACAAAATATTTATCTACGATAAAGCAGTGTGGTACTGTCAATAATGAAATATGTTTATTACTTAGAAGTGTCAAGTTTACTCCTTAATATTTCAATTTGGATCAATTATTAAAAGGTAATTTAAAAGGTTAAAGATGTAAAAATTCTCAGAATAATATGCAAAATCAGAGACAGATCCTCATTCGAAGAAATGTGGACAGTCCCTCTTGAGTGCTGGATGACTAAACAGACGATTTTTTAAGTAAAGGATAGATATAATTTGGGAATAACTGAATCAGTTTGAATATGTTCATTCAGGTAACACAATACAAAATTCTGTACTCACAAAAAAACCAATACACAAAACGACACACAAAAATTAAAAAAAACAACAGAAAAAAACAGCAACAATAACAACACGAAAAAAAGAAAAACAAAAGAACAAAAACCCATCAATCACAACAGCCAACGTCGGTCTACACGAATACAGTCTCGAAATGTCAACATCTTCACGATCAGTTGAATTATATATAGGGTTATATATCTGAAGGGAAAATCTCATTTAAGATATTTTAAAAGTTTCTTCATGTACCCTTGAAGCCCTTGGGATGCTGATATCAAATTTTGAAAAGTCAGACAAATTAAAAGTTGTTTGTATTTTCACGCTTTCATTGCAATCGGGACGAAACATATTTGAAAAGAATGCAAAATCTCTTTTACATAAT